GTAGCTTGTTCCTGAGCCAAATGGCAAAGACATCTTTGGAGCCTACTCTCGAATTTTTCCCAATTTTGCACCCACCCTCGGATAAAAATATGGGATTAACAAAATCTGTCCTATAGTGGAATTTCATTAGCACACCTAGCTCTATCATTCCTAGTGGTTTCATCAAATTAGGTTGGATAGAAAAAATTCAGGACTCAAAGGGTTAAGGTTTGAATTTAACCTTGAAGAAATTAATAAAAATTTTCATCTTCAAAAATTCTCTATTGATATCTTGATTTGAACTTTTATTAATTAGTGTATACAGTAGCAGAAAAAAAATTGAAAATAAACCTGGTCGAATAATTTTAGGATACAGTGTATAAATACAGATTAATCAACTTTTCTATTTATATATTATTTTTATAGAAAAGAATCACGAATAATACGACTTAAGAATACGAAATTAATTCCTGTTCGATGGCGTTTAATAGGTATTGGTCAAGAAGGTATTGGACAAGAATTTTCCACTAAAACTGATACGGGCATTGTTGAACCATTGAGTACATATGAATTACAATTGAATTATTATGCTAGTCGACCACGATCACCAGCATCACAAAAAAATAAACTTCAACTTAAACTTGAAGTAAATTGACTCATTAAGTTTGTTTTTTTTTCTTTTGAAAATTTCTTTTCTTCTAAGATATCAGATACAGAAGGTATGCCAGGTGCTATTAAAACTGTGAATATTCCTGTTTTTGTTGAACCATATGATATTGTTTTGGATATGACATTTCAAAAAGGTAATGATCGTGGTATTGATTTTGGTAATGTACGTGTTAATCAAGAAACAAAACAATCATGTATACTTAAAAATAAAGGCAAACGTGAAATAAAATACAAGTAAAAATTCTTGTTTTTTTCAAACAATTATTTAATTCGTTTCATATTAATTGATTTCAAATTAGATTTGAATTAGTACCTGATTCAAAATCAAAAATTGATGCAAGTAAATTTTTTGAAATTGTACCTAAACAAGGAACATTAGCTGCTGGTGGTGATCGAAATGCCCAAGCAACTTCTGTTAATGTGAGTGTTGACTTACTTTTCAAAATTAGGATAATTGTCTTACTTTCAATCACTCAAAAACCTTATATATACATGCTAATCATAGACTACTATCTGTTTCAAAATAGAATGCACCTGACTGTAAATTGAATAACTTTTGATAGGAACTAGATAGAGACATGCGGTTTTCACCATTCGAAAGAGGACATTCAGGGCTACAAAAGTATGTGAAATTGATTGGTCTGACAATTGGTCAATGAGATAAATTCTTGCTAGACATTTTAAACACGAAATAGAGAAAGTATTTTCCATTTGATTTTTTACTTTTTATATAATCGTTCGATAGAAAACATTGTTCTCTTTCGATCTACACAAGGCCGAGATCTCTAGCTTGTTCTGTTAAAGAGTTATAAGAGTTTTCCTGAGACCCCCGATTTCGGCCATTTGGCCTTGGGTGACCTTGGAAGAGATCAATATAGGGGTAATTCACCACGCTGAGTCTAGTGGTAATGTTTGTTTTCAGTTTTCAACTTATCTAAAAGCACTATGCAAATTTTTCGGTATATCCCGCTTTTTACGCAATACAGCACAAAAACTAGAAGTTTCGAAATTTTTGATATTATGGTTTTAGATGAGTTGAAAACTGAAAACAAACATTACCACAAGACTCAGCGTGGTAAATTACCCCTATATTGACCTCTTCCAAGGTCACCCAAGGCCAAATGGCCGAACTCGGGGGTCTCAGGAA